TCCCAATGATATTTATATATTTTTACTCTCTTGTAAACAACGCTATTATTGAAAGCGATAATAATGTACTTGATTATTTGTTTACACATATTTGTTTTTTTTTACTGACTTCAAAAAGGAGGAGGTATTCAATTCGACTGTATGTTTTTTTTAAATGTATTACATTTGAACTTTTTTTGAGTAAACCAATTTTGATGATTTTTTTTTGTCTGAAAGCTGGTGCTTCTCGTGTAGTCCCTTATGAATTTTATCAAGATCTGACCAGTAGTTTTTGAGTTATCCTTAAATGATACGTATTGATTTCGATACATCGATTCGGTCGTATTGAAGTCGGTTGTACAAAGTTTTTGATTTAACCACTTGTTACGATATCGCGACGAAGGTGCTACCTGATAGTAAGTGGATGCCGTGGCCTAGAAACCTACATTTAAAAGGCGGACATGTTGTCTTTTCTATTAAATTAATGTAACAAACGACCTACCAGTTCATCTGCACTATAGCCTGCTTCAAGCGAGATAGATTTTTTATAGAATATGGGTGACAAACACGCAGTCTGCTCGATGATATGGGGATTCTGCGGCCCATAGGTACTTATCCTCGATTAAGTATCAAAATACAAATGTGTTGTCACCCCTAAGATCTAAGATGGAACATCGTTTCCAGTAAAAAGGGTCTCTGGTCCTCTACACTCACCATGCGAAACACTGCTATTTTACACAGAGTGCGTTGTAACTTCTAAGGCCTAAAATGGAGTGTCTCACAGCTAGCCATCAAACTTGCTCTCTACATCCTCCATGTTGGTACAGAGCTGTGTAGTCATTGTTTTTAGGCAACAGAAAGCAGTAAGTGGTGGTAACCTAACCAGATGCTTTTCTGGGTAGAAAAGGATCCTATCATCTTGCATCTCTAAACTAATGTTGAACGCCTCATTACCAGTAAATTTTTGCTTGTGGTAGCACCATGCTGCAGTTATATTAGTAGTATAGTTGTAGCACAAACGGGTCGGCTCGACCGGGGAAGGACCACGCTCTCACAGAATACCGGCGTAAAATAGTAGTTTAATGCTGCTGTAATTCTTATGGTGAGTGTAGAGAATCGGAGACCCTTTTAACTAGAAACGAGGCATTCTATCTTAATCCTCACGGGTGATAATGCATCTGCATTTTCATTTGAATCGAGGATAGATGCAGATGTCTATGGACCACTGCAACTACTTACCATCTAGTGGACTGTGTGCTCGTTTGTCACCCTATCCTATATAAAAATTGGTCTCCGCTTCCTACTACTCACCAAACACAGTCGCATTTATAATATTATGATACGAACAGAATAGAATATGCAAAATCAACTACACAAATATGTAAACTGCTTGCCTTCTGTCAATACTTTTTATGCGGTTGGATTCAGTAAGATTTGAGGCCAGACTTTTTTATAGTATAAGGGTTACAAACGAGCATACAGTTCATCTTATGGTAAGTAGATGCTGTCGCCTATAGATTAGACGTTGTCACCCCTGAGGACTAGGATTAAATGCCTAGTATCCAGTAAAAAGGTTCTCCGGTTCTCTACACTCACCATACGAAGCGTAGTCCTTCCCCGGTCGAGCCGACTCATTTGTGCCACAACCGTAATATAAGCTGACCTACCACATAGAAATACTTCGGGTTCGAATCCCGGGTCGGGTCAAAATCAGTAATTGTGTTTTGATGTCAAGAAATACTCAGTTGCAGTCTGCAGCGTGGGAGTTGGTGGTGTTTTATCCCCGTGCCTCAGAAAGCACGTATAGTCTGCGCCTGATCTCCCTCCGACCGTGTCGGTTACGTCCCATCGTAAAGGGATAGAGAGTAGAGATGGACCGAATATGGATTTCACCGAAAACGAATAATCGGTCGAAAGTTCGGTAACATTTTTACCTAACCGAATATTCTGCCGAACATTATTCGGCAGGATCACCTCGGTATCTTGTCCGCACATGCTTATGTTTTGACTATTTTTGTGAGAAAAAAAGTATTTCGCTGTGTTTTAGCGAAAATTGATAATTATATGATAAAAATGAGTGGCAGGAGAACACTAGCATTGGCAGGACAACTCTACTATTTGGACTTATTTTAGGGAAACTGACGACCAAAGTAAAGCGAAATGTATTATTGTAATATGTTTTACTGTTTCTTAATTCTAATTATGTATTAATGTTTCTTTGATTTTATAGAAAGATTAGATATAATGTTTGATTCCAAAAACATTTTTTGAGCTTTCTATTTACTATAATTGGAAATAAATCTACAGTGCTTCAAAGACATAACATAATACAAGTAAATTAATTAAATTAAATTATATTCAAGCCATAAATAATATACTTTCAACAGTAAAATTATAAAAGACATGGCATTACTCAATTCGTACATTTCAATACAGTGGACATGAGTACCACTTTAACGAATCTTCAGTGATTCGTATTCGGCCGAATATTCGGCAAAGCCGCCGAATATGCCGAATCGAATGTGAAACGAATATTCGGCCCATCTCTAATGCTTCGGCCGCACCTGCGTGTGTCGTCCCGAAGTAATGCGTGCCGAAGCTTCGTACGTTTTGACACTAAAAAGTTATCGTGATAAAAGCGGTCATGTTAACGGCTTCGATGTTTTGCATGAATTATCGTGCAATAATTGAATATGGCCCAAATCATTTTCAAACGTTTAACTATGGACGACGAATTTCTACATTTGTGTGCTAACAATTACATAATGCATTTATTAAAATCCCCCCAATTGTGCTGAGGACGTGTGCTCCAGAGTTGGCACCGGTTTTAACGCGTTTTTTCCGGTACTCCTACTCCCTAGGCGTAGTCCCAAAATCATGGAAGACGGCTTTCGTCCACCCGATCCCTAAAAAAGGCGACCGCTCAGACCCGTCCAACTACCGGCCTATCGCCATCACCTCCTTTTTTCTCCAAAACAATGGAGTCCATTGTAAACTGCCAGCTCATGAGGTACCTTGAGGATCACCAGCTGATTAGTGACCGCCAATACGGTTTTCGCCGTGGTAGGTCAGCTGGTGATCTTCTGGTCTACCTAACTCACAGATGGGCGGAGGCAGTAGAGTCCAAGGGGGAGGCATTGGCCGTTAGTTTGGACATTGCGAAGGCCTTCGATCGGGTTTGGCACAAAGCGCTTCTTTCGAAGCTCCCTTCCTATGGGCTTCCCGAGAAATTGTGCGATTGGATCACCAGTTTTCTTGCAGATCGGAGCATCAAGGTCGTTGTAGACGGTGCAAGCTCCGATTGCAAGCCTATTAATGCTGGTGTTCCACAGGGCTGCGTGCTATCGCCAACGCTGTTTCTTCTGCATATCAATGATATGTTGCAGACCCGTAACATTCATTGCTATGCAGATGACAGCACTGGTGATGCTCTTTACACCGGCCGAGCCAATATTTCTCGGGAAAACGTCTCCGAGTGCCGGGACAAACTTGTGTCTGAAGTCGAGTCTCTGCTGGACAGAGTCTCGGATTGGGGGCGACTAAATCTAGTCCAGTTTAACCCCCAGAAGACACAAGTTTGCGCGTTAACCGCTAAAAAGTACCCCTTTGTCGTATCCCCTCAGTTTCAAGGCACTCCCCCTTGTTGCCTCAGCCAGTATCGGAATCCTCGGCGTCGACATATCGAGTGACGTGCAGTTTCGTGGTCACTTGGAAGGGAAGGCCAAATTGGCCTCTAAAAAGCTTGGCGTGCTCAGCAGAGCGGGACAGTATTTCATGCCGGCACACCGCCTGCAACTTTACAAGGCGCAGGTTCGGCCGCACATGGAATACTGTTCCCATCTCTGGGCTGGGGCTCCCCAGTACCAGCTTCTTCCACTTGACCACATCCAGCGCAGAGCGGCTCGAATCGTCGACGACCGAGTGCTTTCCGATCGGCTCGATTCTCTGGCACTGCGAAGAGATGTTGCATCCCTTTGCATTTTCTTTCGCATATACCATGGAGAGTGCTCTGAGGAATTGTTCGGATTAATCCCAGCCGCCAAATTTCGTGAACGCACTACGCGGCAAACGTCCCGATACCATCCACACCATCTGGATGCTTGGCGGTCCACCACTGTACGTTTCAAAAGGAGTTTTCTTCCGCGTACAACCTCTCTGTGGAATAATTTACCACCAGCGATTTTTCCGGACCGATACGACCTGGGGACCTTCAAGAAAAGAGCTTACTCCTTTCTAAAGGGCCGGCAACGCGTCTGCAATTCCCCTGGTGTTGCAGTTGATCATGGGCGGCGGTAGTCACTTAACATCAGGTGAGCCACATGCTCGTTTGCCCCCTCTTCTATAAAAAAAAAAAAAATTAAAATCTAAAAAGAAGAAACCTAATATCTAAAAAGCGAGGAATTGCAGTACCATGTCATCACTCCACTCCATTTTTACACAGCTACCTGCATGAGTCTGAACTGATCGAAAATAACGGCCGAATAGAACGCTAGTATGTTGACGCGCTAAAACCTAAAACCCTTTGATGTGCCGCCACCCGCGCGATAACACCCGCACACGCACACGCAGCCCGAATGTTCGCGACGATAGCCGATAATAGCCGATCACATCTGCGTGTATCGTGTCGCTTTCTGCTGATAGATGCAGATGCGGCCCCAGCATAATAGAGAGTGCACCTGTGCTTGCGTATACATTTGTGCAGTATAATCCTGTCCTGCCCAGATAGCTAGTGTCTGTTGAGACCGGCCGCCGTGACCGAAATTTGGTGTATACTATTATTATTGTTGTTACAGTTTTTAACAAAACCGGATGAATGGTTGCTACCACGGGACTGAGGCAAGTGGATAGCCATGATCGTGTTAGATTATGGGTAGTTTTGTGTTGAAATAATTTTTTTAACTATTCTACAAGTATAAAGTAATACTTTATTATAATCATTTTTGTTTTTATAATCTAATAAGTATTCCATTCCCAGTTTCAAAAAATAAAAATAGACCTAACAGAACGGTAACTGCTTCCAGTGCTTTGTGACGGCGAGTGTGGCGCTGAACATCGTTGGACATGGTGCTGTTATAGGCTACGCCGCCGTGCTGATTCCCGCACTGCGTCATCCGGACTCGCATATCGTCGTCACACCGAGTGAGGAGTCATGGATCGGTGAGCAAGTTATTCTCAACAGGAGTGACAACGCATTTGTATTTTGATTCTTTATCGAGGATAGATGTAGATGTCTTTGGGTCAAAGCATTCACGTGCCGACAGGTGGACTGTATGCTCATTTCTCACCCTTCATCTAAAAAAAATATCGTAAGGAAACCTTCACGCCTGAGGAAATATATTTCGAGTAAATCTGGAGTTATTCCTGAGGAATTAGATGGAATGCCTTGTTTCCAGTGAAAAGATTCATCATTATCATTATCGTTACAGCCCTTCCCAAGTCCACTGCTGAACATACGCCTCCCCCAAGGAATGCCACAAAGCAAGGTCATGACACACATATTTCGTGTAAATTTGGAGACCGCCAACACGCACTGAAGCTGTTGTGCTGTCATTCCTGAGAACTAAGATGGAATGTTATCGGTGAAAAGGTTTATCATCATCATCATTATTGACCTTCACAAGTCCACTGCTGAACTTATGCCTCCACAAAGAATGCGACAAAGTACTGACCTGAGCCACCTACATCTTTTACCTTTATCTTTTATATTCCTGCATGTTTTACCAGGTCATCACTCAATCTATTGGGCCGGCCCACACTTATCACACGCCTACCGATACGAGGCTGCTACACGAAAACCTTGCTTCCCCATCGGTAGTCGGTTCTTCGAGCTATATGGTCGGCCCGTTGCCACTTCAGTTTACTAATCCGTTGGGCTATGTCGGTTACTCTGGTTCTGCTGCGGATATCCTCATCCCTAAGTTTATTACGCAGAGAAATCCCGAGCATAGTCTTCCCCATAGCTCGCCGAGTGAACTTAACCTTGCTGAGAACCACCTTTGTCCATTTTCATCTTAAGATCTATCCGTTGAGAAGCACTATTGAGGTCATTGAGCATAGTGATTATGCCCTCCAGCGATTCTGTCATAAAGACTATATCATCGGCAAATCAAAGGTGAGTGATGTATTTGCCATTGATGTTAATACCGTATCCTTTCTAGTCTAGTAGCTTCAAAACGTCTTCCAATGCAGCGGTGAAGTGTTTCGGGGATAAAACGTCACCCTGTCTTACACCTCTCTCTAGTATGAAACCTATCCATTTCATACTCTGGTTCTGTACTCGGATAGCCATCGTAGCCATACTGTAGAAACACTTCAGCACTTCGATATACCAACAGTCAACTTGGCACCGCTAAAGGTACTGAAGCACCACCCAAATTTCGGCGGAATCAAACGCTTTCTCATAGTCCATATACGCAATACACAGTGGCAGATGTACTTTTCGGTCTTCTGTACAATTTGCCAAAGCGAATGTATATTGGTCTATGGTGCTAAAGCCTTTTTGGAAAACGACTTGTTCGGGAGACTGGAAGTCGTCGAGTCTGCGTGCGAGACGATTCGTAATGTATTCGTAAGGGAAAACGGAAGTTTTTCGAGAGATCGTTGTCGCCTTTTTTGAAAAAACAAGACACCGCACCTTCTTTTCCAGGCCTCCAGAGTATTGCCACCATGGAGGACTTAATGAAAGAGCTTCTGATGGCCTTAAGTACCGGTTTTCCACCCGCTTTCAGAAGCTCCACTGTAATTCCATCCTCGCCCGAGGATTGACCTTTTTAGATGCTGGAGAGCTATTCTAATCTCGCTTAGACTGACGTCCGGAATATCACCGGAATAGTTGCGGATAAGACTTGCGGTTGAATCGTTACTCACACTTGGGTATGGCTCCAACTATGATGTGTACAGCTGCCCATAGAATCTCTCAATCTCACTCAAAATCTCAGGTGTCTCGGAGACGATGCTACCACATGCGATCTTCAGCTTCGACAGTTGGCTCATTCTGGCAGACAGATTTTCGCAAGACTGCAGCTTCATTTCCAGTCGAACAGCTATGAGATAGGGATTGTGATCGGGGACTTTTTGTGTTCTCCGTATGGAGAGTTTCCACGAGCTTGTTATTCATATTGTCCACTACATTGCAGTCTTCTGAGACATCACTGAACACTTGAGGTCTATTCGTCATAATGAAGTCAAACTCATTTTTTTCGAACCGTCGGGGCTTGACCTGGTCCACTATCAGTGGGGCCGCTTCTGGCAGAAAGAGTTCACCATAAAGAGTTCCTCTTTCTAAATGAAGTCGGCCAGGTGCTGGCCCTTGGGTTCCCTTACCCTATCCCGAATTTCCCTATGTTCAGCTCACCGTTCTCTTTTGTGCCTAGTTTTGCGTTGAAGTCTCCTGTTATGAACCCCGTATTAACACCGGAAAGTGGATTTTGGAGGAAAGAATGGTTCTAGAGATATCCTTATACATTTCTCCACCTCCTCATCGGGATATGCCGAGGTTGGTGCGGAAACCTGTAAGATCTTCAGCGAATACTGTTTGGTGATTCTGAGTATAAGGAACGCCACCCTCGTTGACACACTCTCAATCTTTATAACGTCGTTAACAAGACTTGTGGACGATAAATCCTACACCTTCTTGGGACAGATAGTCGCCCCCCCGCTGATAGAACAAGTTATCGAATTCGAGGATCACCGTGTTCTTCCCCTCTCTTCCGACCTTGGATAATCTTATAATATCCCAGTGCAACTTGACTATCTCTTCTTCCAGCTCCAGGATCTTTTCGTCAGTCCTCAGGGTGCATGCGTTATATGTTGCCAGGTCAAGTAGCCTTAGATGGCAACCGAACCTCCACCGGATATTCTTAGCACTCCCTGTCCCGCTGTTACCATGGTCACCACCGCAGTTAAGATTGAATAGTGGGGCCGCCGGGGACTACGGGTCGTCTTTTCCTAACTCTCATCATAGGGGGTATATAGCCATAGTTGCCACGCTTAGCGAGCGCAACCGCAGTTTTTTATTGATATTTTTCTGTTATCAGAAAGATCTTCTGCCTTAGTTTCCCTCTGTCGCCTCTTGCGACATCTACGGGAAGATATGGTGTAGTGGGTATTCTTACCCACTTCTTCACTGGAAAATATTGTGTGGCACAAAATGTAATTCCGACAGAAATGCGAATTCAGGTTGGCTTACCACTAGCAACACAATCAGAACTATATACTACAAGCAGTTTTACAAACAGCATTCGTCATCATCGTCCACTGCTGAACAAAATCTTCCCCAAAGATTGCCCCATAAGGGGGATATCTGTTATAATTGCCAATATCCTCCTTCCTAGTAGAGTAGTTGGCAACCGCAGTTTTTTATTTTGTAGTTGTTACTAATAACTCCTTAAGGAGACGCTTTGTTTCTCTTAATCGTCTCTGATGACACTCACGGCACGATAGGGAACAGTGGATATTCCTAGACCGCTATTACCTGTAAATTAACATTATTAGTATGTACATACAGTATATCTTTTTTATGGTGGTTGGTTAATTTAACATCATTTAAATATCTCATAATTTCTTTTTTCAGCGTCCATCGTCGGCTTTGCCCTGATAGTTGGCAACTTAATCATGACACCCATGATGGACACACTTGGCAGAAAAAAGTCCCATTTGCTTACAATATTACCCAACATGACGGGCTGGTTTATGCTGCTCATGGTGAACAGCGTTGCAGGGCTCATCACAGCAAGATTCCTTCAGGGTGTCGCTATGGGTATGCTCGGACCTCTGGGATCTATTATCATCGGTGAAATGACAGACCCGAAAAATCGAGGAGCTTTCCTTACCAGTGTCTCGCTCTCCCTAACGATTGGTGTCCTTTTTTCCCATGCATTGGGCACTTATTTTAGTTGGCAACAGAATGCACTGATCTGTTCATTCATCACATTCACCAGCTTGCTCCTGATAATCTACACTCCTGAATCGCCGTCGTGGCTGATCGCAAAAGGGCGTTATGAGAAGGGAAGCGAGATATTCTTCTGGTTGAGAGGTCGTGACAGAAAGCAGGAGTTGGAGTTGGAAGATATGATTGCAGCTCAAAAATCGGCCAGGAAATCGAGTGTCGGTGACCAGAAGCAGTCCATCGGCACACGGATTAGGCGTTTGCTAAGTTATCTAAAGGAAACGTCCAGAAAACCGGAGTTCTACAAACCTATCATAATAATGTTCTTGTTATATACTATGTTCCAATTTGCTGGCATAAACGTTATAAGTTCCTATGTCATGGACATCGTGCATCAGTTAGTCGGGCCAGGGGTAAACGCCAAGTTGATTATGGTTGCATTGGACATTGAGCGATTGGTTTGCAATATACTTGCCGTGTTCCTCATGAAGACCATGAAACGGAGGACGTTGTTGTTTAGTAGTAGCGCCATCTGTGTTCTCTCGTACCTCGGAAAAGCGGGTTACGCTTATAGCAAAGCAAACGGCTTACTTCGTTCACCGTTCGAAAACCAATGGATACCTCTCACCCTTATAGGCTCTTACATGTTTTCCCTTACTATCGGCATATCATCAATACCCTTCGCGATATCTGGGGAAATCTTTCCACTTGAATATCGGGGATTAGGAGGTGGAATCAGTGTCTTAGCATTATCTTTAAATTTCTTTGTCGCTGTAAAGTCTTTCCCGGTGTTAAATCTTGCCGTGGGCCTACCTTGGACTTATTGTTTGTATGCTGGCGTTGTGGTGGTCTGTCTGTCCGTCATTTACTTCATGTTGCCGGAAACTAAGGATAGGACTCTGCAAGACATTGAGAACAGCTTCCGTGGATGGACGGCGGAAGATTATAGAAGTTCACAGCCATTGAACGGGAAATCTAACGCCGAGATGAGGAGATGCAGTTCTCATATACTTTATTAATATATTCTTTAGAAAATTATGAGTCTGAATGTCACGAGATTTGTCACTAAGATTGGTATTGGTACGCTGGTAGCGTTCGATAGTCCTCATACATGGAGCTTCATCGTGGAACACAGAAGTAAGCTCTTCGAAACACCGAAGTCGTGTTAGACCTCCTTGAATTTTGTAGAAAATTATTGCATACCTGACAGATTCAAAACGATTCTGTGACTAAACAATAGCATTAATTGTTTTGAGATTCTGACTGTACCTAAACATATTTGAATATTGAACAGTTCCAAATTCAAAACTGCCGGTAAATATGTAAACGACAGAACTTAAAAGGCATGCCTAATTAGTAATAACAAATTTTCAAAATTTAGCTTGTAAGAGCACAGAATGTGAAAGGCTAAGTTCTCGCAAAATGGCCGCGCGTTCATTGCACAATATTCACATTCATATTTTACTTTGCCTTACTAAGGTTTCTCCCTCTGGCAGAAGAATTATTTAGTTGGTCTGAGGTTTCTCCATAAATTTTATAGGAATTTTTAACAAAACTCTTCCTGGGTTTTATTTGTGTTACATGCTTATAAATTGAAAATGCATAATGAGTTACGTGTTGGGTGTCCTATTACCGTAAACGTCAAGTAGTGGCGGCGTTATTGATTGTGTCATGCCATTTTGTAAAAGTATGCCGTAAGAAGCGACATATCAGAAGAATCGTTTGACTTTCCTTTGATAGCGGTATAGCCATCTCGTGGTATCCCGTATAGTTGTGTAGTTGTGTACTAGTCGTTGAGCGTGCAGCGGGGTATAGACCGCTCCGCTCTCTATTGAGGCCTTATTCTTAGTTTCTTAGTTTTAGATATTACTACTATACTCTTTGGTCTTGATCACGTATACAGGGTTATTTTTCAAAGAGTAGCCAAATTTTAAACTAATGTTCAAATATATTAATAACAATATATCGTTATTGCATTTGAAAATACGAGTAAATAAAACTTCTACTTTTATTTGAAATTTTCCCAAATTGAATGTGATTTATGTTATGTGGGAAACAACATTTTTGTCTTCCGATCAACCCTTAACCTACGAATCAACCTACGAATGTGTGCGTGTGCAGTAAAATCGGTTAAAATAATGCATTTTCACTCACTTTGAATTACAAATATAAAAACGACAGAAATTTTTAGATTTTGTTTAATTTTTTTCAACATTTGCCTATATTACTTATTCTAAACCTTCTCTGCAAATTTGGCCGGTTATTGCAAAATGTATACGTTGCGTTTCGCCTATATTTTGCGACTATACAATACATATGTAACAAAAACCCCGTAGTACCTACCCGTTACGCGTTTAGTGCGTTATTAGAATGAGTATTCAAACGTTTTGAAATAACTTTACTTCAAAACACTTGACCAAAAAAAATCATTTTTAATTAATTTTTATTTGCATAATGTGTATGACTTTATTACCTCTGTATTGACCATTGACCGGGGTTAGTATTGTCAAAGACTATGTTTTTTTTTGTTCATTGTTAATACCATACTAAAATTTGCAAATAAAAATGTATTATTTATTATCATATATTTTTCTGGTTTTGTTTACTGCAGTGCATCATATACTTTGAGGCATTATAAAATAGACCCCTTAAATGAAATTTTTAATGGTCATGTTTTCTAAAGTAATGTAATTTATGTTTGAATACTGATTGTGATAACGAACTTAACAGGAACGACAGAGATTTTTGACATGTAAACTATCCTCGTTCACGCATAAACTTTTGTTGCTAAAATTGTAAGCTTACAATTAATAAACTATCTAAAAACTTATTTATTCATTCAAAAAATAAATAAATGATATTTTTAATTAAGGCTGTGAGTATTTAATTAATCAGATCACTGTAGAACTGTTCGAAAAGAAATTATATTATAGTTAATGTGAAAGTAAAAGTGTAAAGGAATAAAGAATTTACATAATAATAATCAATTATTTAGCACCCTTTTAAATTTTTGATAAATGAACGGGTATGCGTGCTTAAAAATGGAGTGGACTAAAAATTTACAAAGCTTAAATTTTTAATAAATAACAAATGTAATTTATGATGTCGCTAGTCGAATTCATATTGTGTTTCGTATGCTGTCGAAGTTTCAGTGACAGGAGATTTTTGGTGACGTGGTATTTTCTCATGGGTGGAATGAACGAGGTACTTAACTCGGGGGACAATACTAACAGTATCTAACAGTTCTAATACAGTAAAATAGCCTGTACACTCCTACCATTTCTAATACATTAAGATAGCCTGTATACTCCTACCAGTTCTAATACAGTTAGATAACCTGTATACTCCTACCATCAACAAATAGCGTATACTCCTACCAGTTCTAATACAGTATAGCTGTAACTCCTACATTTCTAATACATTAGGATAGCCTGTATACTCCTACCAGTTCTAATACAGTTAGATAACCTGTATACTCCTACCAGTTCTAATACAACAAGATAGCCTGTATACTCCTACCAGTTCTAATACAGTTAGATAACCTGTATACTCCTACCAGTTCTAATACAGCAAGATAGCCTGTATACTCCTACCAGTTATAATACAGTAAGATAGCCTGTATACTCCTACCAGTTCTAATACAGTTAGATAACCTGTCTCCTACCAATTCTAATACAACAAGATAGCCTGTATACTCCTACCAGTTCTAATACAGTTAGATAACCTGTATACTCCTACCAGTTCTAATACAGCAAGATAGCCTGTATACTCCTACCAGTTATAATACAGTAAGATAGCCTGTATACTCCTACTAGCTCTAATACAGCAGGTCAATAGGTAGGTATTTAATAATACTAATTGGGATGATTTCCGAAAAGGTATTTTTTGATATATAATGGTACTTTCGGCAATGACATTACCAAAAAAAAAAATATGAATATGTATTATTTAATGAATATTAAAATGTTTAGGTTATTAAAAATACATGATTTTTGTAATCTGGCAACACCGTCGTCGACGATGATATCCTAAAACGACGACCGCTGGCGAATAATTTATTGTCATTACACTTTCAACGAATAGCATAATCGGCCACATGCTGAATACCGAATATTTTGCGGGCTTTCTGACCGAATAGTCCGAATCTTAGGATATAGCAGCATAATGGATATGAGGCAAAAATTAATAATTCAAGTGCATACTGGGAAAGCCCCAGCGACAAGGCAAAATTCTACACCTCTCTCCCAGCGTGGTTGGTATTCTGGTGTGGGAACAGCCAGTCCTGATGACAGGCATTGAAGTCCCTCAGAAAAACCAACTGTGCATTAGGGTACCGATTTAGAGCCACATCAGAGGCTTTCCTGAGGTGTTAAATAGCCTAGTTGTCACTTGGTCACCGCTGTGCTATCGGTGGACACAAGAGTAAATAATATTATCTATCCTGTGTCTATCAATACTGAGATCGTAGAGAAAGTGGAGTCTTCAAGATGACGGAGACGTTTACAGCATATGTCGTTGCAAACGTAAACACAAATTCCCCCGCGATGACGGAAATTAAGCTCCAATGTGTACCCAGGGTAGCCAAGGTACGCCGCATCTAGAGGACATCTGATCTGTGTCTCATTCATGAAGAGTAAGTGCGGCTTGTCAGTCTCAAGGTGGTAGTGGACTGCGTTGAGATTACAGTGCAGGCCTCGGATGTTTGTGAGGTGCACTTTGATAGAGAGGGAGCCGCTGTACAAACTTAGTCTTCTTTTTTATTTTATTCATTATTGGTGGAGTGAATAGGTTGAGAGAACGGCAGTTGGGCGAGTCGTCACAGATATAACTTAGGGACGTAAACAGAGTCACAGACAGCATCGATGGAACCTAGCATGGAGATCGCGGGGACGCCCGAACCCCCTGGGAAATCACCACCAGACCCTCTCCTCCGGTCACCAACCGGCATGGTGTAGCCATCCCAGGATTTTTCGTAAGATGACGGGGTAGCCTTTAATAAATGGCTGGCTCATTAGTTGGGCTCCCAACTATCAAGGTCGGCAAGCGGTGCAATCGTACTTCGGATCCCGTTTACCTCCATAACCATGCATCTGACACTAAAAAGCAGCCACGTGGCAACCGGTCCTTATGAAACCTAACATCACCTAACATCACGCCGGAACACGACTTGCATTATTTAGCGGTATGTCTTTGCCAGGTGGGTTGTAACTTGTCACTAACCCTCGGTCGGGCCTCTCACTAGTAGAGGAGTAACCTACCACCAGTATGTACCTAATGCTGCTCGTTTAGCACTACCCAGGGGATACTTGTTTAAAGTCAGGATTCAAGTAATTCCTACGGACGTGAGCAGCTTTATATTTATATTTATATATTTATATTTTCGACGTAGAAATCTCTTATTGACATTGTTTGTTGGATCGCTGAATTTTTGACGGGATCCCAATCGCGTTACATAGTCAAGTCTTTAGCGTCGAGGTTAATTACGGCCGTTGTTAAAATAATATGCACCGGATTTTCATTGGAGGTTTCTGATATGCCCGTGATTTAAACTTTTTTTTATAAGATAGGGTGACAAACGTGCATAGTCCACCTGATGGTAAGTGGTTGCTGTGGCGCATAGACTTCGTTCTTTAGGTGAATTTGTGCTCAATTTTTTTTATAGGATAGAATGACAAGCGAGCACACAGTCCACCTGATGATAAGTGGTTGCTGATCAAATATTAATTTCCTGGTTAAGCTAGGCAATAGTAGAATTCAAGTAAAGTACTTCTGACGAATTATTTTCAAGCGTGCGGAGTTTATCTTTCGCTCGCGATAACTTGATTTCATAGTCATCGTATATTGCACTGCATGTGCGAATGTGATCAATCAGTGACTTGAGGTGGGCTTTTAATTCTCCTGCGTCTTTGCGAAGTTATTTTGTTTAAGATATCAGTAGGTATAACTTGAGTTTGCTGCTAAAGAGGATGACTCAACCACCGCTGGATTACACGATATATTCTATCGATATCTTCGTTGC